AATATCTCACTCTCTCTCTCGTCCTCTTTTTTTAGACCTTAGTGCCTAACATACAGCGCGGACACCTTTTCTCCAAACAAGATTAAAATCAAGTAGATTTATAACCATATGAAAATCTTGACAATGGACGGTCAAGATAATGTGTTGCAAGATGGACTATTTTTGGAACTCAAAATTTTTTTTTTTTTTTATTTTATACTATCTCGATGTCGAGATGATCAATTAAAAGGTTTTTCAACATCAAAACAATGTTTTTCGATAGATTTTTTAGGTACATGTTTACTTCTACATTTTAAAGTTGCAACTTTATATAAATTTTTTCTTTTGTTGAATGTTTAAAACGTGGATTCTTATCGCCTTTTCGAGAAAAACAAAGTTCGAGAAAGAAGAAAGAGAGACCTTCCTCTTTCTCTCTCAAAAAGTATTGAGTTTTTTTTTTTTGGGTGATTTAGGTACAGGTCTTAAACTTTTTTCTAAAATATAAAATGCTCTATTTATAGGTGAAAATTACAAAGAATATCGGTCAACCTTTTTTTTTTTTTTCCTTCAAAACTTCCTCTCGGTTTAATTTGCTTTTTTAGTTTTTTTTCATTAATAAGGCACTGCCCTACTACAGAAAAAATTAAAATTAAAATTTGGGCCAAAGATTCTATCCTCAAACTGCGGGGTAATTTTGGAAAAAATTTTAAAAAAGTGGTTTGACCAACCATTTTTGCAATTTCTACCTATAAATTGAGATTTCGTATTTTAGAAAAAATTTAGGGTCCATACATAAATCACTTTTTTTTTCTTTTTTTTTTTTTGTAAATCAGTGGGAAGAAGTCTCCCTACGCATTTTTTATTAAATAATAATAAAAAGATACATCTCATAAATTTACAACCCCTCTATAAGACAATTGCAAAACATCATGACGTAAAAGAAAAAAAATACAATCAAATGGTCTAGTGTGCCAAATTGTGGCATCGAAAGAATTGAGACTTCCAAATAAAGAAGAAAAGGCTAATTTCAACCTTTATTTCTCGCCCTTTCCTTTTAGACCTTAATGCCCAAATTACAGCACGGATTGATTATTGCCTTTCTAGGTTTGGCAACAGGCCAACCCTGACTCAAAGGAGAGTTTGAGGTCAACCCTCTCGCTTACAACTACAGTAAAACGATCAACGGTCCATATTGAATCTACGCCGATCCAATGGTCATAATTGTATTTCATATTTAAATTTAAATTTTTTTTTTTACAAATCCAATCCAGTTAAAATTTAGAGCGTATACTCTTGAAAAATATGTGAACCTAATAAAAATATTATAAAATAATATATAAAAATTAAATTGACCAAAATATCTCTGAAAGTTACAAAGATACTTTGATCAAAACCTATGAAAACAAAAAAAAATGGGTCAACCTCTGGCTAGGCTAGTGTTGACCGTGCCTAGCTGTAAAGTGTAAACTATATCGGGCCTACCAAAGTCTCCTATTGATATGCAACCAAAACCCACCAACTAGGCCCATAAGGGTGGTGATGGGTCAAGTTGGGTCTCGGTCCGCCCGAATTTGAATTCACCGGACCTAGACCTGAACTCAAAAATATAGTGTGACCCCAACTTGGACCCATATAGTGTTTGGGTCCAAGATTTGGACCCAGACCCGACCCGTTGGTTCCAATTTTTGGACCCATATCTCGACCTAGATCGAGTCTACCCTCGGGGCCCGAGTCACGTTTGGGTCCATTGCCACCCCTACAGGCTCAAGCCCATTAACAGCCCAACCAACACCATAGAAAAAAAAAAAAAAAAGTGATTTACATACTGACTTTAAAATTTTTCCTAAAATAAAAAATACTCCATTTATCGATAGAAATTACAAAGAAGGCAAGTTAACTTATTTTTTCAAAAATGTTCCCCAATCTAAGAACAGTCCTCGGTCTGAATTTAATATTCTTTTTAGTTTTTTTTTGTTAATAGGGCCCCAAGCTTTAGGGTAGTACCCTACTAACGGAAAATTTTAAAAACAAATAAAATTAAATTAAAATTTGGTTTGAGGATGTTCTCATACTCAAAGGCAATTTAGAAAAAAATAAAAAAAATAGATTGGTTGACATTCTTTTGTAAATTCTACATACAAATAAAATATTTTATATTTTAAAAAAAACTTTAAGATTCGTATGTAAATCACACTAAAAAAGAGACTGGTTTTGACAAAAAAAAAAAAGGCTCGCTTTCCAAAATATAGTATAATAAAGGGGGGACCAAAAGGCTTGAAGGTGTATATCCAAATTTTGCCTTAATTCATAAGAAGGCAAAGAATGAATAACACCGTTCACAGGTTATGGATGAGAGACAAATACGTTAAAAAAAAGTAAAAGTAATGGATGAGAGAGAAAGTGGGCCGATGAAGCACACGTGCGATCAACACAATAAACGTATTATTGAGTATGAAAATAAAGGAATACGACAGGGCTGACAAGCACGTGTGCGCAATGTACCTGGTCCAGAACCAGAGGCGGTTGGGCCGTACGTACGAGAAGTGCACGTGTGGAGGGTAAGACATTCTTCTTACTTTCGCTTTTGTCCCTCAACCATGTGCACCAAAAGACATTGGGTAGTTGGCATCACATCTTTCTCTCTCTCTCTCTCTAACAACCTCCTCTTTATGTTAGAGAGAGAATAAGGTGGGTCCCCAATCTAAGAGAAGATAAGCGTGTAAGCTATGGTCCCGCAGGATCACACTGTATTTCCTCCCTCGGGGAAAAGACTAAATTATGGGAAGATCTTTTTTAGGGGTTCTCTACAAAGGAGAGCATTTATCTTTTGACACGGTTTTTATGGGGCCAGCCCGCTTAAGGTAGAAATGAGGGCTTCGCAATAAATATATTTTTAAATATAATTTGATTTTAATTTTTTGAAAAATATATAATCTTTAACGTGGAGATCATGATTATGAAAAAAAAAATTAAAACTAAAAAAATTAAAAGCTAAAAATAATAATTATATTAAAAAAAAATTTGGACGGTTAGTTACAATTATTTTTTAATGGACCACCTATTTGCATCCATGTTTAAAATGGATGCTTTATACCTTTGGTCTTATTGTAGAAATACCGTCCAGCCGTAATTGTTTTTTATTTTTTATATATGAAGGGCATAATCATTCTCCCTCATGAGATGTCAAATTAGATGGCTTGGAGTGAGTCAACAAGTCCAACAATTGTTTTCTTTGGAACTGTGTCTATTCAATAACACTCTTACAACCACCCATTTAATAATTTAAGAGATAAGAATAATTGTGACATCCATGTATAAAGATAAGTGGTCTCTTTCTAGACAATCTATTTTTTTATTCAAAATGTTGGAAATCATCTAAAAATCACAAGAAGATTATACAAACGAAAACTTTTTGAATTGTGTGTTTTTTTAAACGTTTCAATCTCACCTTTCACAAAATGGATGGTTTCTATTCAATTTTGAGTTTTCTTTTCTTTTTTCCTTTTTTTTTAAGCATGTAGAGAATGCAACATAGTATAACAAATGGGTCGAAGATGTTACATCCCCAAAATTTGGGGTCTTAAAATTGCTTTTAGATTGGGTTTTGGACGAGTGGGTAAAGGGATACTATGATCCATCGGGAGCATAAAATATTTCAGCAGATTGAGAGATTTTGTAGAGGTTTTCACAATCTAGGAAGTTTTATCATGCGTATAAAGGGAATGTTTTTTTTTTTAAAAAAAAGAAAATTAAGTTTTTTATCATTTTAGGAAGCCCGGTAACTTGAGTGTGGATGAATTGCATGGAAGTTGAGAGTTTTTTTTTCTAATTAAGTAAAAATAAAAGTATATTTCTGATAATTTTTTAAAAAATAAAAATTTTAAAAAAATTTATTTTTATGTAGATATTTCTTTGCTTGAACCGAATCAGCTCCACGCTAGGTGAACCTTTAACGAAAACAGCCTGAAGCTAGGCGAAGCTAACCGAAACAGCCCAAAGCTGATCAAAACAAGAGCGTAAAGCTTTGCTTTACTTCGGTCTAAGCCTAAAGTCCGAAGGCTTCGGCCTCTTGGATAGAAATGATGCGAATCTGACAACACAAGTTGAACCAGTCCAGACTCTCTCTCTCCATCAGTTAAGTCTCAATAAGATATGCAACATAACCCAAGCCTCTTTTTTCATTAATTCATGAAGGACCCCATTGTTTACTCGAGCCCCGCCCCCCTCTGTCTCTCTCTCAAAAATAATCACAAAAAGTAAGTAAAAACAAGCTTTACGGTTGTCGGAATATAACCCTATGAGGTCCTCTTACTTTTTCATTGGAAAAGCACTCTTTAACGGAACTAAATTCTTGTTAGAACATTTAACATGGGCCCCTTGGGTCTATATCATTATTTAACTATAGATATTTGCCATATAACATAGTTATTTAAGTTGGATGAATATCTGCCATATAACATTGTTAATTAAGTGGGATGACTATTTTTCATATAGTGTTGCTGATTTGTTAGAGAAGGATAGGGCTTCCATCCCTTCTCTGGTTATCCCTGATGATATAATTTTCATTTCATAATTATCGATAAAAATTACCTTTGGTCAAAAAAAATTATTTATATAACATTTGTTATTTTAAGTTTGGTTTTGGGAAGGCTGCAGTTTTACAATATTTGATAGGGTTTACCTTCAGATCTCGGGCCCAAAAATCTGGAGAATACTTGCAAATCCATATTTACCCACCCAGAATTTGATGCACTAAAAATGCCTATCAACAAGGGCCTGAAACGAACCGTTCATAAAATACATTACAAGATAGACCATTTTCAGGGTTTAAAATCTCCAGCCTTTGTTTTTTTTTTTCCTCGTATCCACGGACGTGGAGGAGGAGATAATGGATTTGCAGGTTTTTCAGCACTCAGAAAAATTTTCAATGAGATTTGACGTGCAGCTTTATGAAGCCTCGGTTAATGCTTTAATTATACAAAATTCTTCCCAACTTTGAGCCAACAAGAGGCAGACAGAAGTGGAGAGGAATATACCCCTGGGCAATAAAGTCCTTGATTAAATATGATTAAGCATAAAAAAATACAGGTGCATATATAGAACAAAAACTTTTAAAAAGATACTTAGGAAAATGTTTTAACAGGCTTCTTTCCTGGTAACAAGGATGGGACATCTCTTAAGGGCTCTTGTTGTTGGGAAGAAAACCACTTTGTCCTCCTCTGAGGTCACAGAGCTGCCATTGAAGAAACAAAAATAAATGACAAATTGAAGGAATTATATTTTGTAAAATTATTGATTAAAAAAATAGCCTAACTCGGGAATTGCCTAAGCCATGTATAATTTGGAGGTTGGCAATTCTGGATAGAAAAACCCAGAATCACCGGAGCCTCCTAGTATTGTTAATATTATTTGTCAATTGTGGCCCAATCCGACTCGAGAATCGCCCAAGTTGGGCTAGATGAATCGGAGCCCAATTCTAATTGTACAAAACCTCTCAAGTGCTTACTGATAAATTTTGTTAGATAATTTCTCAGTAACGAATTTTTACCTGAAATTTGCGACAAGGTAGTGTAGGAAAACTGAGATTTCAACTCTTGCAAGCTCATAACCAGGGCAGAGGCGTGGGCCCCCGCCAAAGGGAGTGAAAACTGAGGGGGGATTAGTGGAAGGTAGAGTGCCCTGTGAGTTAATCACACAAGTAACAATATGTTAGGCATAAATTATATTGTAACCTCTTCTGAATCAGTGAATATAATGGCCTTTATGGCCATTTCTTCGAGGGTTAACATGAAAAAAGGGATGATATACTATAAGACCATTCTTATATTTGGTATAAGACCATTCATATTTGGTATAAGAAAGTCGCAACTACTCCTACTTGTTAGATGTGAAATGTGCCAATTTGGAATATCCAAAAAATCGAGAAATTTGTTTTGGGATTTTGAACCCGATCAATGGTACAACTCAATCTACCGGATTGATCATTTGATAGCTAAGAATAATTGTACAACTCAATCTACCAAATTTATCATTTGATAGCTAAGAATGATTGTGATCCCATGCATCAAAGATAAATGGTCTCATTGTCTACTTTCTTTTAAACATAAGTATAACAGAATCTCAAGTTTGTCGCGGAAGTCTGGAAGATAGCATAAATGAGTTTGATATATCGACCTGCCATCTCCAAGGATTGAAAGATCTGGCGTCTTTGTAAAAATCTTGGTCGAGATGAACTGCACGAAACGACACAAATACCTTCCAGTCCTTTGGGATTGTGCACCCTGTATACAACAAATCAACAGATGAACACTCAAAAGATTGAAACAGGAGAAACAGAAAATTAGTGTGGTACTTAAAGTGCAGTATATAGACAGTATATTGGGCAAATAGAGATAACCGAATCTACATACTACTAAAACACCTGGGTTGGTGTATAAACAATATGACACCAATCAATAATACAATGCGATACAGGCAAATAACCAAAATAAAAGGAGTCAAAGGAGAGTTGCAGGAAAAGGATCTGACATCCCTACCATGGCTTGGTACTGTAAACTAGACTATAAATCATAGTCTAAGTATGATGCAAATATTTTTCAAAATCGAAAAACCATAAATTGAAAAAGCTTCAGTGTGATAGACACATTCAGTAAATGAACACCCGAAAATTTAAAACAGGACAAAGAAAGAGTGAGAGTTTTCTATCTCCACCGGGGTAATGTCCAAACCTTTGATGTGAACATCACAAACAGCTCGACGAAAAACCCCACTGATGATATTTGCCACCCTCAGAGTTTCATTAATCACCTGAAAAAGTTAATGCGCATAAAGAGGATAAATTAGACATACAAATTACGCCGCATGAGGAATACTTAGGGCCTTTAAGATTTTATTAGATGTTAAGAATGAGGCTATAACAATTTTACACATTAATTGTAACCCAGCTATAATAATTATGACTAGTATGCAACTATTTTTAACTTTTTATCAGTCATCGAATCAAAATCAGATGACTGTCAACTCCAAACACTTACGGATCATGTTTGGGTCTAGAACAACAAAGAACTTACACATTGGGTAAAGGACATGGATTTATAATCAGCCCAATCCAAGGGTTCAGACCCTGCCTTCTTTCTTCGGATCTCCTCATGTTCTTCCTACAATCATCCAACCGTTCTCTTTTATTAGAAGTCATGAAATTTTAGGATCATAGGGAGAGATGACAGAGATTTAGTCTTGATTAGAGAGTCTCTTGGTGGAGAGAGCGAGTGAGCGAGTCTATGCCCCTAAAATCATCATAAAAACATCCCTTAATCTTAATCAGTGTTTCAAAATTAGTCGATCGACCGGTTGCAACTAGAGAGCGGTCCCGATTTTGATGGACTTTCCAATCCCACCAGAAAAGAATCGGGCGGGGGAATCAGTCTAGATCACAATCGCCCGATCCTCCACATTTTAAACTTCCATTATTATTATTTGTTTTTGAATCGCCCAATCTTCCACATTTTAAACTTCTATTATTATTATTTGTTTTTGCCCAGCCGATTCTTCTTTTTGGAAGACTAATTTTAGGAAAGTCATGAAATTTTGGGTCCACAAAGAAAGACGGATGGGCTTTCTCTCACGAGAAGAGAGAGAAAGAGAGTCACAAGAAGAGAGAGATGGTTCATTTCACAAAAATAAAGCAGCACAAAAATAGTAATAAAGAAGAAAAACATAAAGGATGAAAGAGAGAGAAAAGTAAGGGCATGACTTCGCATGCGTGTGCACAGACTTGGCAGGTCACAGAGGAGTAAATACCAAAGGACACCTCTTTCTCTCTCTCTTTACTCTCTACTATTCTCTTTCTCTCTCTACTCTCTCTCCTCACCCCAATACGACCATAATGCCTCTGAACCGATGAATACTAGAAAGCAGCAAGTAATATATAGAGCATACTGGGAATTATACAGAGAAGAAGAACCATTTGGATCACTCTGCGTCTCTAGAAAATCTAAACCAAAAGGCAAGTTGGATTAGACATCCATCCGACCAGGCCTTCTTTGTGCTCTCTTTTCTTGTATTTTCTCTGGCAATGTCAGGGAGGGAGAATGAACTACGAGGGGTATTTTGGTCATTATAAAAACTTTCTCTCTCTAGGTCACAGAGCTAGCTAGTGGAGAAGATTTGACCAGAAAGGGGATAGAGTCATTGTTTCTGTCTTCATTTTTCTGGATCTTTATTTTCACTTACAATTGTTGGCATTTTCGCATAGAAACTAGGGAGAAACAGAGGAGAGAGAGAGAGGGAGGAGAGAGAGAGAGGTACCTTTAGCGAGGCAAAAGCCTGAGGCGTCTCAGTGAGGAATTTGACTGCGAGGGTCATGATGGTGGATGTGGTCTCGTAACCAGCAACGAGCAGGGCAAGCAAGAAATCCACAATCTCTTCATCAGAGAGACCTTCTCTCACCAGACTTGCCACCATGTCTTTCTTCTCCTCGACATCCCCACTCTCTCTCTTTCTCTCTCTAACCATCTCCCTCAGAGCCTCTGCCACTTTGCCCCTGGCCTGCATCACCGTACAAAGGAAGAAACAACGTCACGGGTTTACTAGAGAGATGAAAGTTTTTAGAGAGAGAAAGAGTGAGATGAGAGAGTTTGATACTTTGATAGCTCTGGCATATGTGGTGCCTAAGAAGGGGAAAGGCACAGTGAAGAAGCCCTCAATCAAGAGCATGTATTCCTTTCTTAGATTCTCACTCCAATCCCCTGGATCAACGCTCATGAGCTGCTTGATTGTCAATTCGAAAGTTATCTGTAGAGAGAGAAAGTCACTCAAACATCAACACTTAGATTTGAAATCTGAAGCATAGGCGTGGAAATTGAAGTTTCAGAGCACCCCATTAACCGAAAACTACAATTCAAATGACCCATGTCGCTACTTTTAAAGAGAGAAAGAGAAAGTATACATAAGCTTTTATGCATGAAAAATGAATTTTCAGATCACCCCATTGATCGAAAACTTCGATTCAAGATTCAAGTCATTCATACCACTAGTCTCGAAGAGAGAGAAGGGGGAGTGAAATGAAATTCAGAGACCCCATTAACCAAATATCAGAATTCAAAGGATTCACAACACTTTTATAGAGAGAGAAAGTAATTTTGGCCTCCTCTTGCATAGAAACCTGACCCTTGCCCCCAAAATGAGGAATCAGAGCACCCCACTCAACAAAATTTCAAATTCAAGTGCCCCAAACACTTGTTTCCTAGATAAAGAAAGAAATTTAGAGAGAGAAAGAGAACCTTCTTGGCCTCCTCTTGCAGAAGAACACGGCCTCTCCATGAATCCAAGCTGAGGCGAACCAGTCGATCGATGTCGAGGAGAAGGTGGTCTTTGATTATTGAGGAATTGGCAAAGCTCATAGTGAGAGAATGCATTTTTTTGTGCAAGCTTCCTTTCATTAGAAGGAGAGAGTGCTTCCCTAAAAGGTTGGATATTGAACTTGGATAGCTGCTAACAAAAAGCTTGCCTTCATTTTGCAGTATGAACCTGTTCACCTCAGGGTCTGTTGAAAATATTGTTGGCTCTCCAAAAACATGTGTTGTGAACACATTCCCATACCTAGAAAGAAAGAGAGAGTTAGAGAGAGAAAGAGACAGATGCTGTCTAATTGCCAAAAAAAAGCACAAATACAAAAAAGTAAGAAAAGAAGAAATCAGTAACAAAAGGAAGAACACAGAAGAGAGAGAGGGAGAGTATATCAACACATACATATAGAGAGAGAGTAGATCATCACATATACATATCCAATGACCAATACAAATACATCAGTAAGAGAAGGAAGGAAGAGAGAGAGAGAGTAACATATGTTTAAATGAAAAAGAAAACCCACTTAGAAACTCAACAGAAAAACCATACTATGAATTGCAAATTTACTACAACCCAATGAATCTTCTTTCAAAAAACAGAGAGATTATAGAGTTGGAGAGAGAGGAAACAGAAAGAGCAATATATAATCTCAATAAAAATGGAAACCCACTAAAATTTTCAACAGAACAAGAGGAACCACATTGTGAATTGCAAGTTTACTACAATCCATCACTTCTTTCAAAAACAAGAGAGAGAGAGAGAGAGAGAGAGAGAGGTTTGTCTTTGAAAAGATTAGTGTTTTTTGTAAGACTTAGTATTGCAGAGAGTAGGTGCGCGAAGAGAGAGATAACTGTACCTGGATCTTCTGGAGTCGAGAAATGGCTCTGGATTGGTGGCTTTGTACGCCGAGATAAGTTGCAGAGTCTCTCCAACGAGAGGTAGCCCAAAGGAACCAGGAGGAAGGCCCCTTATTCTGTATTTTCTTGTTGAGAGATGAAGAAAGAAGAGAAAGAAAGAAACAAGGCCGAGCACCAGCATAAAGAGCACCATTTCTCAGTCTTGCTTCTTCTTCTTGGTGGGAGGTGGGTTTCAGAGAAAAGGCTCATTTGAAGAGAGAGAAAGAGAGGGGGTTCATTTATAGAGAGAGAAAGAGAGGGGCTGCTCCTCTGTTCACCATCAATGAAGCCCTTAATTTTGCAGAAGAATCAGCATTTGGAGTCAGAATTTATTTGGGATTTTGAACCTGGTCCTCTTCCTTAAATTGGGTGCTGCTCCTGTCTTGCGCGTGCATTTAATCTTTCTCCTAAGTCTTTGATCTCTCTCTCTCATTAAAAAAACAGCTCTATCTCTCATTCAAAGTAAAGAAGAGCTTCATCTCTCTCACAACAACTGCTCTCTCCCTTTCAACTGTCAGTAAACAACTCTCTCTCTCTCAATCACACTCTTAGAAATTTGCTCTCATTTACACACACTCTATCTCTCTCTCTCTCTTGAGATATATCCATGTATATATGGTCCATACATGTCTATTATATATATAATTTGGTGATGGAATTTATGCATAGAAATAGATAATGTCATAAACCTCTTTATAGCCAATCAATAATTCATAACGCAAGGAGAAAGAAAGGTAGAGAGAAAATAAAAAGACATCAGAGCCTGGTTACTCTGTGAGTTAGGAGTAGCTTTCCTCAAAAGGTCGTTTTCTCCCCTTAAAATGACAAAAATACCCTTGAAATCTCAGCGGAAGTAGCTGCAGTCCAATTGGTAGCAATTTTCAATAACTTTTTTAGATTTTTTTTTGTTGGTAGTTTCTTTCTCTCTTATGCACATTTAAAACGAGTAATTTATGTGGACAAAAAAAAAATAAAAAATAAAATACGAATGCGTGGAAAGTTATGCAGAAAGTCGATCAATCCTTATTTTTTTAATATTTTTTAAAATTATCTTTCGGTCCAAAAATGGCATTAACGAATTGGTTTTTAAATTTTGTTTCTTGAGTTTTTCCGTTTGTAGAGCTCCGTTTCAAGGCCCGGCTCAGTTCTAGAGGAGTCTGAGGTCCTCATTTTTTGACCGATTTTGTTTCTTTTTTGTGGAATAAATGAGTGGTCCAAAGATGGGACCTCGGACCGCTCTAGAATTGAGCCCTATCCATAGAGCGGTCCCAAGTCCCCATCCTCAAACCACCCTTTCTTTCTTTTTTGGGGAAGACAAGAGCGACAACTTTCTAGACTAAACCAGGTGAGCCGTACTAATGAAAAAAATTTAAAAATTTGTTCAAGGATGCCATCGTCAAACCGAGAGGCAATTTAAAAAAAATTTAAAAAACACGGGTTAATTGAATCTCAACATAATTTTTACTTAAAATTAGCCCATTTCATATTTTTTATATTTTGGCCGTACATAAATTTCTCCATTCAAAACTAGTGGGAGAAAACCTAGGCTTTTTCGGAGAGATCTCACTCTCTACACATCTTACACTTTTCTTAAAGAGGGGGAATGAAAAGGAGGAAAGAGTAAGGAGTAAAAATGTTTTTACGTTTGCTAAAGAAAGGAAAATGTCAATTTTTTATTCATTTCTTACACGCATGGAATACAAAAAAAAAAAACAGTTGGATGGCTAGTCCTCATCAAATTGAGAACCACGAGGTTCCACTCCTCCAATCAATGACTCTCTCTCTCTCATGAGTAGAGCAGAAATAGGAGTGTGGACTGGGCCCACCATAGCCCTAGCCCGGACTTTGTCCCTGTAGAGCTTGCCCAAGCCCGATTTGGCCCAGACCGGATGGAAGAGTCGCTGCCACGGCCCTAGCTCTATTTTGACTAGGCTAAGCCGACTAGAACCAAAGAAAACAAGGAAAACAATAAGAAAAAAGGGCCTGCTCGGGACAACCTGGCCTTGGCCAGCTTGGCTCTAAATCTGGCCAGGCTTTGGCTCCTAGGCTGGCCCTCAGCATGTGCTGGCTCAACCCGAGCCCCGCCTCGATCCACATTTTGTGCCCAACCACAAGTTCTTTGGTGCTAGGCTGCCTGGCCGGTTGCCAACCCTAAATAGCAACATGTCTCTCTTGTGAAAGGAAAATATATATTGTCTTTCGGGTTAATATGGAAGGTGTGCATTGTGATCAGTATATAGAAAATATAGGTACAATATATGTCTATGATTTATTTCTATTATTGTCATTTGTATTTGTCAATATAAGACAAGTTTTATATATTCATATTGATTAATTGACACTGAGTCCCTTCAGAGAAACCTGAAATTCTTCACATAATATTAGAGCCAGACTCATCTTTATTGTAGTCATTCCTGTAAGATTGCGTCTGTTATGTTGTTACTCGATAGTGTTCTTTTAGGTATGATCAAGTCTGTTATTTGTTAATTCATCATGTATGTCTGTTTGCGAACTACTTAATCTATTACGGATAGGAACCGAGTTATGTTGGCTCTTCCAAGTGTTATTTTGTTTTTTCGGTTGACTCGATTATTTTTCGATCTATGGAGAAGATTTGAAGTTTTTATACGTTGTTAAAGCCAATTTTATTCAAGCCTTCCGTTTTTTAGGCTTATTGATCTACCATTGCTTGAGCATGCCTTGTTTTGTTGTTCATATGTGCTTGTTGATAAAGCACCCTTAGCATGACAACCCCTGTTTCTACTAGTCATGCTGCGTACGTAAAGATTCAACTGCTCGTTTCCGTAACTTAGTGTTCAAACTCCAACTGCTCAGCGCATCTTGAGTTTTCTCTTTTTCTTTCTTTTTGGTTTTCTTTTCTTGTATAATTTTCATTACCTTAATGAAATGATAATCGTGTATATTCTTCAAAAAAAAATAAAAATAAATAAAGTATATGTTGTCTACCAAATTAATATAGAAATTGTATATTGTAATCCATATATATGAAAAATATAGGTAGAATATATTGTATTTTTATGGTACGTCTGAGTATAATACTAGTGTCTATGATTTATTTTTATCATTATCACCTGTATTTGTATATATAAGACAAACTTATATATTTATATTGATTAATGAACATTAAGACTCTTTAAAAAAATCTGGTAGCCTCTCTCTCTCTCTCAAGTCTCCAATACTAGTTGCAGCCTTTGGAGGTTCTTTGGTATTAGGTTCTCTCTACTACGAGTTGAGAAACATGTAAGTGGATTGTTTCACTCTATGCTCCCACAGGAGCATAGTATACACATCTTTTAATGACTACAACTTGAATCTCTCTTATACAATTAAAAATTAAGGTTTTGTTAGGCTACACCATTCGGTGGTGTATACTTTTAAAGTTTTCAATATTTTTTGACATTTAGATACCCTTATCCTATAGTGTAGTAACGTTTTGTTTGAGGATATTTTAAGTAATTAATTAAAGATAAAGTAGAAATTCTTAATAGAAACAAAACTATTTATTAACAATATGGGACAATGACATCACCTATACGGCATCACCCACAAAATGCATTAATTTATTTTTTAACTATTAATAAGATACCATTATTTTTTTTATAAAAATATCCATTCTACCACTCTAAATGACCAAAAATGCTCACATTTGAAAAATTTTATAATAAAATTCAAGGGCATTTAAGTGTTCAAAAATGGAAAAGACTTTAAGAGTATACACTACCAAATGATGTAGCCTAACAAAACCCTTAAAAAAAAAACTGTCTTAATTGTTATATGCAATTAGATCCCAAGTTCTTTTTAATTTTATGGTGTAGGGGCTTTGTTGGTTGAAATTTTAGGGTCATCATTTGGGTGTTTTTGACAGATTAGCATGCTTATTTGAGTAAATTATGGTTTGAGATGGGTGTCTTTTTACGTAGTGAGAAATTTCTCAAACGAATAAGTAAAAAACTATGAGAATTCATTCCGGTGTATGCATGCCCCTGGGAGGAGCAAATTGACTTGTTACCTGATATGCATCAGCTACAATTTATAGTCTCAAGAGAAGAGGGAAAGTAAGGAGATAAAGATGTGCAAGTATCTGCAGAGGCAATTGAGGGAGGGAAGAAATGGTGGGGTGGTGATGGTGATTTTGTGGGCACCTAGTCCTAGCTACATTTGTGTTCATTCTGGCACAGGAGAGGAGAATGCCAACCTGAGCCCGATAGCAAGGAAGGTGAGAGTTAGAGCAACTTCGGGTTAGGAAGAGAGTTTACTGTGCTGCTGCAATGGATATTGTGAGCCTCACTCCCACCGTCCGGAACCACCAGACTCGTTTCTCCGATTCACTTAACGGTGCCGCAGCAATCGAGATCACAACTGTCAAATGACTTTTATTGGTCTCGTAGTTCATTTTGGCCTTAGATTATATTTTTGGTCATCTTAAATTACATTTTTATATTTGATAAATCATATGAATGTCATTATTCATATATATATATAATATTTTTAATTCTGAAATGAATGCACAGCTCTAAATAAGCATCAGACTGCCAATATTTAGATTTTTTCGATACTATTGTCAAAATATGGAACATATGCGTCCATTTTCTTTCATAAATCAATATAAATCGAATTTTAGAAGTCTTCCAGTGATTTTCTTTTTACCAAATCAGACAAATTAGTCTGATCCAGTCACATCATTGGTCTAGAAAGTGACAGCTTGTGTTAGCATTCAGGAATACATGCAGGGAAATAGGAACGCTGAAAACTGGATCCTTCATAAGATTTAGTACTTGATCAGTTAGGAATAAAATAGATGGGAATACGAATCATAATATAAAAAATAAAACATAAAATACACATAGTACTATAAGACAACAAAGATTTATGTAGTTTACTTTAAATAATTACGTCCATAGACACGACAAACTGAAATCCATTATAGTAATGAAAGTTATATCAAAAACATAAAAGGTATCTTACTATTCATCGACAATACCCCATCAAACAACCCCCCTCGGAATCGCTCTGCTGACAAACATCACATGTCATTCTTCTTTCTCTTCATTTCTGGCAATTTTTATCAAACACATCGCATGGAGTTGCATGAAAAATAAAAAGCCAATTTTCTCTTTGCAACCGAGATACATCCAAAATCTCCATGAAAACTGTTTCTTTACAACAAATAAGCCTCTCTCTCCACACAAGGCCCAAACATACGTTTCTCTCAGTAGAATCTTGCTTCTCTCTGTAGAAGCTCCTTCAAAGGCACTTCCTTCTCTTTGCAGGAGGCCCAAGTGACCGAAATAAAACACACATTATTTTCTCTCTCATTACACGTACATAACATTATGAGTCCCATGTTAGATAAGAATCCCAAAGATACAACATATATCTCAAAAATTAAGATATAACCAAGTATCCTAATCTAATTAGATAAACTTATCAATCTCAATATCAACCCCATATAATATATATAATTTTTATGTGAATGAAAAATCACCATATCCTACCGTTTGGCCGACCGATCCATTTTTCTAAACACTAGATATGAAGAAACATGTAAAAAGGACACTCTTTTCATTGAATGAATATGAATATGAACCGTCTCTCTCTCTCTCACTCTCACTCTCTCTCTCTCTCTCTCTCTCTCTCTCT